TCCCATGTTCATGGATTAGGAGAATGGCTATTGTAAAAATGTCTATACTATTGAAAGTTGTCTACGGTTCATGGCAATCCCCATTAAAACACCAGTGACATTCTTTGCAGAACCAGAAAAAGCAATCCAAATATTCATATGGAAACATAAAAGACCTCAAGTAACCAAAGCAATCTTGAGCAAAAAGAACAATGTGGCAGGCATCACAATACCTGATTTCAAAATATACTATAGAGCTATTTTAAAAAAAATAAACTCTGATATTGGCATTAAAAAAAAGCATTTAGACCAATGGGACAGAATAGAGGATCCAGAAATAAACCCACTCATCTCCAGCCAAGTGATTCTTAACAAAGTCGCCAAAAACACTTTGGAAAAAAAGACAGCCTTGTCAACGCATGGTGCTGGAAAAACTGGATATCCACATGTAGAAGATTGAAACTAGACCCCCATCTCTCACCCTGCACCAAAATCAGCTCAAAATGTATCAAAGACCTTAATGTCAAGCATAAAACTTTGAAAGTACTAGAAGAAAACATCAGGGAAACACTTCAAGAGATTGGCACAGGCAGTGATTTCCTGAATAGGCCTTCAAGAGCCTAGGAAACAGAAGCAAGAATTGACAAATGGGATTACATAAAATCAAACAGCTTCTGCACAGCAAAGAAAACGATGAAGGAATATTCCTACAGAATAGGAGGAAATCTTTACATTTTTTTCATCTTAGAGTTGATTAGTATTCATATGTAAAGAACACAAAAAGCTTAACAAAAAAAGAACAAGTAATACAATCAAAAAACGGGCAAATGATTTGCACAGACAGTCCTCAAAAGAAATACAAATGGCCAATAAACATATGAAAAAAAATGCTCAATATCTTTAGCCATCAGGAGAATGCCAAATCAAAACTACACTGAGATTCCATTTCACCCCAGTCAGAATGGCTAATGTGAAAAAACAAATAAATAAAAGCAACAAAAAAATGAAAAATAACAAATTCTGGCTAGCATATGGAAAAAAGCAATACTTCTATGTTATTGTGGGGGTGTAAATTAATATAGCCACTGTGGAAAACAGTATAGAGCTTTCTCAAAAAACTAAAATCAGAAATACCCTATGATGCAGCTATACCACTCCTGGATATTTACTCAAAGAAATGAAGTTAGCATACAAAAGGGAAACCTGCATGTCCATGTTTATTGTGCCACTATTCACGGTATTCTAGATATGGAATCAATCTGGAAATCTATCAGTAGATGAATGGATAAAGGAAATATGACATATATGTACAGTGGGGTATATTATTCAGCCTTAAAGAAGAATGAAATTTTCATCTGCAGGAAAATGGACATCATTTTAAGAAAAAATAAGCCAGACATGGAAAGATAAGTATTGTATATCTTCTCAAGTATATAAAAAGTAAATAAATAAATAAATAAAAGACCTGAAAGTAGAAGAGAAACTATTTGGGAAGTGGAAAGGCGCTGAAGAGAAGAAAGAAGAGAGGGAAAGACAGAAAGGGTAGAAAGGAAGGTGGACACAATCTAAGCATGGTATATACATGTATGAAAGTGTCACAGCAAAACCCATTAATGTGTCCAAATAATTTGTGTAAATATTATAATATTTAAAACATGTATAGACTTTTGTGTCCATCGGACTATATTCAAGTTGAGATCTGCCATAGCTGATTCTGTGACTATGGGCTGGTTACTTAACCTCTCTGATTCCTAAAATTTTCTCGCTTGTAAAAAGGAATAATTACAATATGTAACTCAGAGGATTATGAGGATAAAATGATGTCTGTTTATATTATATCATGAGGATCAAAGGTCTACTGTGTTCATAATGATGCTTATAATGTACATTGTTTTTATTATGGCTATTATTTTAAGAGAACTGGGGAAATGCAATGAAGCTAACAAGAAGAGGGTCACATTTAATCCCACTTATGTAATTGCAATTATCATTAATAATGGATTATGTGTTTCTAGTTTTTTGTTTCATAAATGAATACCTAAGTATAGTCAAATTTATAAAATTTTATTAATTTAAAAATAATTGACTTTGCCGTGACCAATAATATTCTTACAGATAGTTTTAATAGTTGCATATTCAGTCCCATCATGTGTATATTCTGCAATTTGTCTTGAATTGTTTACTACAATAAATATTTGTGATCTGTTAATAATCTATTTATACACCTTTTGGTACCTATTTGATTAATTTATTAATATTAATCCACAGGAAACCAATAAGTTATTGAATATTTAAAATATTAGCATTTTAATTTACAGCAATAGTGTATGAGGTTTCTGGCTTCCTTGTTGCTAAGCCTACGTACCATGAATACATATATTTTTATATTATCCAATTTAATGGCTTCTACACAACATGGAGCAATCATTTTAATTTGAGCCTTGGATTTTTTTTTATTGGTTGTTCAAAACATTACAAAGCTCTTGACATATCATATTTCATACATTAGATTCAAGTTGGTTATGAACTCCCACTTTTACCCCAAATACAGATTGCAGAATCACATCGGTTACACATCCACATTTTTACATAATGCTCTATTAGTAACTGTTGTATTCTGCTACCTTTCCTATCCTCTACTATCCCTTGGATTTTTAACCTGTAAAATTAACTAATAGATACAGAATTTCAGAAATATAGTCACAGATCATAAAGTTGACACTGATTCCAGAGCCTGTTAATGCTCCATTTTTTTTTTTTTAATTTTTAGTTGTAGTTGGACACAATACCTTTATTTTATTTATTTACTTTTATGTGGTGCTGAGGATCGAACCCAGCACCTCACACATGCTAGGTGAGCACTTTACTGCTGAGCCACAGCTCTACTGCTCCATATTTGAAATGCAGTTCAAATGAGAACGGATCATGATGAGGTTGGGCTGACCCCACAAGATGCTGAAGGGTGAAACGAGGAGTCCTTCTGTGGCAATGTCATGACTGTCTGGAATGTCCAAGTCCCGAATGTCCGAGTGTCATTCAGACTGGCAGATTTCAATCCAGGGAGTGACTTGGAGAGCAAATGGAATTTGAACTTCTCTGATTTTTATTATTTTCCATCCTGTTAACTGCGTGTTCTCATGCATCTTTATTCTGTTAACTAATATATTTTAAGCACTTAATAGAGAGCCTGCCACTTACTAGGGGTTAAACAATAAATATCTATTGAACAAATAAATCAGCTGGACGAAACTATCCTGGGCCTGTCAAGAGATGGCACACTTGGCACACCCCTCAAGTGGCCTCCCTGGTCAAGCACAGACGACCTGCCAAGAACGAGGCCCCTTGAACTTGCATCTTCACCTCGCCACAGTCTTGTCCTGCTGGCACATTTGCTCACAGATGCTTACCACCTGCAGCCTGAATGAGATTCCGTGTCCTGTGCTGGACACCACACTCCGCAGCGTGGGGTCTCCATCTCTAGCCCACCATAGATGGGCTCACTAGCGCCCTCAAAGGGTAGTATTATTTCTGATTCTTTGGCAGACCTCATTCCTGCCCAGGGCAACACCTTAGGGGGTGGTTGGACTATAGTATAGGACGTCAGGTATCATGCTAAATAGAGACCCATTCTTCTAGGCAATATGATGTGGAGGTTAAACCTGACCAGGCTGTGCGCCAGACCTCGATTCAAATCTGGGATTCACAGTTTACTGTGTCACTCACATGAGTCACTTAATTACTGTGTTCACTGTTCTCATATGTAAATGAAAATAGTAATACCCGCCTTATGGGATCAAAGTGTGAATTGAATAAATTAAGACAATGCAAAGTAGAAACTGTAAATAAATGCTAAGTGCTATTTTGATCATTGCTAGTAATAATAATGACATCATTGAGAACTTACTATGTGCCCAACACCATGTGTTTATTATTTCATTAATTGTTAAAAAGCTCCGTGCACATTATTGTTACCCTATCATATGACTAAAGATATTAAAAATTCAAAAGTTTTAGTAAGAGCATAAAATCCTATAGCCAGTGTGTACTACTGCCTGTATTTAGATGTAATTCTGTCTGAAATAGATGGATAGATTTCTCTTACAATTTGAAATATCTGTATTATTGTTGAAAGTATAATTTCTCATATCTGATCTTTAACCAAAGCCTCCAACCTCAGAACCATTTTTTTAAAAAATTAACTTTTAAGTGAATGTATTTAAACATCCCTCTGTTGGTTTGATGGTCTGTAGTTTCTAAGCTCTTACAGACCTTAGATTACACTGCAGTTCAGTTCTCCAATCTCTGTCTTTTCTCTACTAGGTTTTAGCAAAATCAATCAGCCAAATAAATAAATAAATAATATAAAGACTACAGGGTGCCAGAGGATGACGCAAACAGAGGATTTGCATTTCATACATAGGAAATCTTCAAAACCAGAGCAGCGTTTCTTGTAAAACCACATGAGTGACCATGTCAGCATTTGCATTGCTCGTCGACATTGCACATGCTCCGACCTAACAGGGCTTCTCTATGAGGGTGGAAGTGCCCTGACACCCAGAACGGAGATTTGTCTATTATAAAGCGGATGGGTGGCTGTGCCCTGCCAGTGGCCAGTATCTTTCTCCTGAGATGACAGATTTGAAACTCGAACCCTCTGCAGACAGACACCCCCAACAGACCAAACAAGGAAAACTGAAAAATAATCCATTTACAGATGTCAACACAGCCACTGTATTTGTAGGCATGATTTGCAGTGCCACGTTTGACAGATTATTTTTTAAATCCTTGAGATTTATCTTGTTTCTATTGAAATAAACCATAAAATGCCCTGTTACCTTTTGCTGGGTGAATGATTGGTGATATTTGGTTCAGAGATTGTAGTGAACTGAGAGCCAGTGGCCATGAACGGGCAGGATGGGGTGGTTGTGCAGAATGCCTGTTCAGGAGGAATGTTTGCAGTGATAACTGGTTTACACAGGACTCCACTCAATATTTAAAGATCTTATTTTTCTCTTTTACAGGTTAATTGTGTATGGTTTTGTCAAGGCGATGATATATGCCGGCCAGTTGAAAAATGGAGACTTTCATTTCACCGACTGTTTATTTTTTGGCTCAATGTTATCTGCTACAGATCCAGGTAACTGCTCAAATAATACATTTCCTTCTTTTTAAGAAGCAAACGTTTAAATTGAATGCTTCTCCAAAGGCCATTACCTAAGTCTTCCTAATAATAATTCCTTATTTCTCATCACTTGCGATTGATATATCTGTTAGTGATTTAAAAAAAAACAACAGAAGAAATTAGTGAATGTTCAGCTAGCTCTCAAGAAATTGGTCAGAACGTAATTTGAGTCATGGGTAAGTTTTTATAGACATTATAATTTATTTCTATAGAACTTTCAGCCATTTTGAGCTAAAGTCCTTAATTTTCCTTGATATTTCTTCTTTCAATAATCTCTTAACTTAAATGCTTTAAAAATATTTTTTATGAATTGTTTACTGTGGAACTTTTCAGGCATATCATAATTAGGGAGCATGGTAAAAATGATCACCATATACCCTTCAGCAGTTATCAAATATGGCTGATCCTTCCCTCCACCCACTCCCTCTCATCATGACTGTTGTTTGTGTTAAAGCAAATCCTAGACATCATATCCGATGTGTAAATATTTTGAAAAAATGTATGCTGCCATTATAAAACCTAAAAATATTCACATTCATGATTTGTGAATATCAGAGATCTATTCACTGTTCAGGTATCCCCAGTTGTCTTATTATCATTGATAGTTTATGTACAGTTTGTACAAATCAGGGTCCAAACAAAGAACACGCCCTACGACTGATTGCTCTCACTGTTGAATTTTTTTGGATCTTTAAATTACTCTCCATTTTTTAATGTCATGTATTGGTTTTTTAAAAAAAATAATTTGCCTTGTGGTTGAACTGAAAATAGTTCTTTCAGATATTCCTAGGTGTCTCATATTTCTTATAAACTGGGGTTTAGAGCTGAGGCTTAATCAGATGCAGGTCCAGCTCTGTTTTTTTTGTCAATTTACTTTAAAGGTGACACTGTGAGTCTTCTATTGCATCACATCAGGAGGCCACAGCCTGATCATCACACGGTTGGATTTCTGCTCCAGCTAAGACCACAGAACACACTTGGAGGGAACAAACACAGTGTTCAGTGCCTGCTGCCGGGAGAGTGGGCACTTGCTCCTCTGTGGGACCATGGGATGATTCAGAGGGACTTAGAAAGGACTTATGAGCAGACCTGGGTTTACATTTGTGATTTTAGGGAAGATTTAAGGAATCAGGTTTAGGTAATGTCAGGAAGTGACATTAAGGCAATTAATCTACCTAGAAGAGGAAAGAGTAGACTAAGCCTACAGCAGTAATTGGCAAAGAAGTCCCTTCAGAGAGGGGGCTGTTTGGTCAGTTTTGTGGTTTGGACAAAGTTCTCGATTTGTGTTTAGACATGGTTATGGAGTAGGCTTGTTTTGATTTGGTCCATCATGGGGCACAGAGTCACCTCATCTGATGTTGTTCAGTGGAATTGTTTCTGACCAAGAGGAACACAAGGCCTGGCTTGTTAATGTCCAGGGCTGCTTTTCTCTTCCTTAGAATGATCCTCCATAGCTGAGTCGGTGACTTGTAACAAATGCAGAATCTCAGGCTCAACCCCAGACCTAGTAAATCAGAATTTAATAGTTTCCCCAAGTAATTCACATGCACACTAAATTTTGAGAAGTTCCTCCTTTTAGAGTTCCCTTTTCTGCCTAATGGCCTCAGTACCTATTGATGGTTGCTGTTTAATCCAGTATTTATTAGGGATCACAAACTAGTGGTATGCAAATTCTATCCTATTATGCAGATTCTATTTTTTAGCAGGTACTTTCCCTAAAGAAGTCGTTTTCCGGCTCAACTATTTGAGTACTCCATGGTATATTATAAATAAGAACCAAAAATAAATAAATAAATAAACAAAAAGTCAGGACAATTGATTCTCTTTATTTTCACAATAAAGAGCTGTTTCCCTTGTGTCCTCTACATGTTTACCCAGGAGATTGGTTCTTTAAAATATATCTTTACTAACACATGGATTCCTTTTCTCTTTTTTTTTAATTTGTTCTAGTTAGTTATACATGACAGTAGAATGCATTTTGACACATCATACATAATTGGAGAATAACTTTCATTCTTCTTGTTGTAAATTATATTTACACAGATCATGTAATCACATATGCATATAGGATAATGATGTTCAATTCATTCTCTGTCCTTTCTACCCCCATATCCTCTTTCCTCCCTTCACTCCCCTCTGTCTAATCCAAAGTACCTCTATTCTTCCCTAGCTACCCCCCACATATCAGAGAAAACATTTGGCCTTTAGTTCTTTAGGATTGGCTTATTTTGCTTAGCATAATATTCTCCAGTTCCATCCATTTACCCACAAATGCCATAATTTCATTCTTCTTTATGTCTGAGTATTATTTCATTATGTATATATACCACAATTTCTTTATCCATTCATCTATTGAAGGACACTTAAGATGGTTTCATATTTTAGCTATTGTGAATTGAGCTGTATAAACTTTGATGTGGCTGGGCTCATTTTGAGTCCATTGGGTATAAACCTAGGAGTGGAATAACTAGATCAAATGGTGGTTCCATTTCAAGTTTTCTGAGGAATCTCCATACTACTTTCCAGAATGGTTGCACCAGTTTGCAGTCCTACCAGCAATGTATGTATGTACCTTTTCCCCCGCATCCTCTCTAACATATATTGTTGCTTGTGTTCTTGATAATTGCCATCTGAATGGAATGAAATGGAATCTCAGTGTGGTTTTAATTTGCATTTCTATGATTGCTAGAGATGTTGAACTTTTTAATATTTACTTGTAGACTCATTGTATTTCTTCTTCTGAGAAGTGTCTGGTCAGTTCCTTAGCCCATTTATTGATTGAGTTATTTGTTTTTGTTGGTGTTAAGTTTTTGAGTTCTTCATATATCCTGGAGATTAATGCTCTATCTGAGGTACATGGAATACATGGATTTTAACGTAGTTGATATGTTTCAATCTACTATTGTTATTGTTATTAATGATCAAAATGTTCCATTTTTTTTACAAATTTATTTATTAATTTTACAGTACAATGCATTTTGACACATTATACACAAATGGAGCACAACTTCTCATTTCTCTGACTATACATGGTTCAGAGTCACTCCAGTAGTGTAATCATACATGCAGATAGGGTAATAATATCTGTCTCTTTCTATAACCCCATCCCTGCTTGGATGAACAGAAACCTCTTCAAGTTTCTCCAGTAATCTATGCCATGATCCCAGTGGTCTTTGATAAGTGTCTTGCATTTGGTGGGACTAGATATTCTAACGTTACCTTGTGTGTTTCCTGCACCCTGACTCACAACCAGCCATTCCTCCAACAGGCCTTGGTCTTTTCAAAAAGGAAGTCTGTTTAGAGACCACAATCTGGGCAGTAAGGGTTTTCATTGCTCCTGAGCTGGTCATGGTTTCTAGACCCTTTTTGTTAAGGAAAAATCATATCACAAATTCCTATTAGTATGTTCAGTTCAAATTTAGGTATATAGAAATTTTATTTTAATTGTCTTGAATTTTAATTTGCATTTGAATTTTCTTCTTTTATTCATCCTATTATATTAATATAATTTCTTCCTTGCTTAAAATATATGCTCTCAAAATTATAATACATATACTATTACTAAAAATACAATCACTGAAAACTGCTTGAGATTTCATTGTGGTTATTTTTAACCTTTAAATATATCCCCCTCGGGATGTACAGTTGAAAATTGCTCTCTTTTAAAATCACTTAAAATTATTCCTCCATGTGGTTCAGCCACAAGTCAATGCACAATAATGATCATCTGTTTAATTCTGCTTGTTTTAAAATTAGATTTAAAATCTATAGGATTCTAAAATTTAAAAAAAACACAGAATAAAATAAATCTATCCACCATCCCTGTCCCATCTATCCCAACTTTCCAACCATTTTGGGCAGCTTTTAGCTTATACTTTCATTTGTAAGCAAATACACAAATATACACACACTGGTATATGCTACTATACACATGGTTGTCCACCTTACTTTTGTTTAATTAACAATATTTTGATGATTACTACCTTGCAATATATAAGATCTTTCTCATCCTCTTTTGTAGCTATAGTGCACTGCAGTCTGTTCAGCCAATCCTTTATAAATGGATATTAAGGTTCTTGTCTTTTGCAATTATAAATGGCATTGCAATTAATAACCTTGAAATGAATAGCTTTTGATATTTGCCAGCATTTCTTTGAGATAATTTCTAGAAACAGATTAAAAGGTAAATATATCGGTAATTTTCCTAGATGCCAAAATTCTCTCCATAAAGTGTGTACCCTTTGGCATTCATCCCATGATACATGACAGTCCTTCTTCTTCACAGTCTTGCTAATACAGTAGTCTATCAAAAGTTTAGATTTTTACCCATATATTAGATGAAGATTTCTACATGGTTTGACTTAGCATTTCTCTTTATGAGTAAGGTTGAACATTTGTTGAGATATTTAGAGTTTTTAAGAATTTTTTTGAAGACTAATTATTTCTAAGATGTCTTTTCCAATAGAGTTGGTAAGTTTGATAAGCCCTTGATATATTAGGGATTTCTGTAATGTGAGTTACAAATGTTTTCCCAGTTGGTCACCTTTCGTTTTGCTTATGGTGTGGGTGTGGGGGTGTTAATGTATGCCGTTGACCTGTTTCCTAGAAGATGTTGAAATGAAAGTGAGTCTGAGGTATGGAACCTTGTGCAGTAGAGGATCATGGCTCAGCATGATGTACAGGGATAGACTGCTCCAGCCCCGGGGTTAGGAATGAGCTGGCCACTACATCCCTGCTGGGGGATTTCATGTTACACTTGCTGAAAGATTTCACAGCACACTTGCACTGCCCTGGGGAAATGCAGTCGTCGCTTGGCAGCCACCAGAAGCTTGGACTCAAGACAAAGTATTTCAGTCCATCAGTGATTTCTTGCTAGTTAGGGTCATTCTCTGCCGACACATATGGGCAGTCAGGCTTTCCAAGTCAGGTCCTAGTTCAGGTCACCTTTGCATAAA